GCATTTGATTGAAAAATCCCAAAAGTAAAATATTTGAAATTAATGTATCATATGAATCCCCATAACCGATGTAATTGCATTATCAAAACCCCTAAATATCACAAGCACCAGACAACTAGATTACATAATTATCACTAACGCATTTTAAATTACTCATGATATATCCTAAAAGAACGGTTCAGCTGTCTTACCCGAACGACCTCGGATTCCTAGACTCACATGTGCCAAGAAACAAACATTCAGACGCAGGATCACGTGCGAAGCATATTTATAACGCTGAATTGGAGCGACTTCAGAAGTAAATAAATAAAATAAGTAAAGGTTATAATTAGACAGGTAAGCAGACAAGTAAATAAAGGTAGTAGTTGAATAGACACCCGATATTAGATATATGCCAATGCCTTACTCGTATCCTCGGTAATTTTCTCGAATAGTTCCAAACGGATCTCAACGATTTTGGTATCAGTTGATTCCTCTCCCTCTCTAGTATCCAAATATATAGAAGTTATTGAGGGGGAGTCCCCCAAACCCCCACATTCTTGGCCCCGATAATAAGGTAGTACGCGAAAGGTACTAGGTATGTTTTGGAGTGAAATATAGATAATTTTCTGTGCCCCCAGCATGTCCAATAACTTTGTTATTATTGAGTTGCGGTCTTAAAGAAGGCTGGATGGAAATTTGGTAAACTGGAAAAAGGTGTCACCAAAGAATTGATGAAAATTAACTGTACAACCTTGAAGATATTTAATTAATGATCACTTTTCATTAAATAAACTTGTCTCGCAAATGAATAATAACGAAGTTATTTAATCATGAAAATAAATAAAAATAATATTAAAATTAGGTGAGATTAACACAATTGCTGAGGGAATACTGACCAAATTTTCCACTGCAGTAAGCACAGTACCGATTAAGTCACTATATTGTCTAATGCCACCATGCCACCCCCAACCCCCACACAGGAAAACAAAGAATCCTCCACGTGTTCACAGCAGGAGAGAGCGTCAGACTTACTCGGCATTGAAAAAATGTAATATTCCACGCGAAAGAAAAATACTGTACATTCTGGTGACCACCCCCAACCTATATAATAGTAAACAAAGAATCTTCCATGTATTCGTAGCAGGAGTGACTGTGGCATTGACTCGCCATCATTCACTCCTGCATGTTGGTCTGACGCTCTCTCTTGCCGTGAATACGTGGAGGATTTGGTAAATTTTCAACTTCTGATTTTCCTAATTCATGTATTTTATGAATTCTTTTATTTTTATTTTTATTTTTTTTATTTTACATTTAAATTTTTTAAAGTAATTCTTTACCTAATGTGCATTTGCTTGAAAATCCTGGTGGAAAGCACAAATGCACATTAGGTTTTTCGTGAAGAATAGTGTAATACTATCAAAGCCCATAGATAAAGTTTCTTAAAAATAAAGGAATACCCAAAGTACATGAATTGGGAAAATCAGACATTGAAATTTACAAAATAATTGTCTTCACAAGTTGAAACATTGCAGGAATAAGTTAAGTGGTCAGAGTATTGTAAACATTCGTGATGAAAATAAGGCGAGGGACTTAGAAAAAGATGGGTTGATCTTCTCTCTTCTCTGTCGTGTATCCTTAATTTTCGATTTGCGCACCTTATGCCATAGGTGAAAAGTGTCTTAGTTAATGTCAAGGTAACCATTTCATACACTTGTTTATACCATGCCCTTCATACTGGTAATGCAGTTTTAGAATTAATGTGAAAATCCCCTGTTTTGATTATGCATTACCTATTCTTTAAATTACAGTATGACATTCGCAATTTTTTTTTGCAGCATTTGGCTTTGAACTAGGTACTATATATTATTACCGATGCTGAAAAAAAAATTGTAGTGGAGCATATTGGGTGCCAGATTGACCCGAAATCTAAATTAATATTTTTTTAAAAACTGTCATAAAACATGGATTTTGTAGCCAGTTTGGTTAATACATACTACTACCCATGTATTCATGTCATTGTATGATTATAATAAGAAATATCAGATATGAGAAATTTTTTTTTTTAAGATCAGGTAGTATAAAATACAGGCCAGTCTCTTCTAAATAAATATTACAAATATTTTCTTTATTGGTTTGTCAGATATTTATATAATACATGCAATTCTCACACACACAGGCATACACGCACCCCCTCCCTCACACACACACGCATACACGCACCCCCCCCACACACACACACACACATACACATTTTTTCCAAAAAAAATCAAGCAGATCTTGTAAATCTCAGTTAATACCTTATCAGACTCAGAGCATCTGTCAGTCTCAGTTGAAACATCAATCAAGGCTTCTCACATGTTTTTCACTAGGACTTAGAGCCAGTTTCACTTTATTGCTGATTTCTTCAAAACTACTGATTGGACTTAATTCATTTGTTAATGAGAATTAATAAATGATATTGAGAATGTCTTTAAATTACAGAATTGTGTTCTCTATTTAGTAGTTAAGATGAAAGAGACGCTAGGAAATTTGTGATAAACAGAGCAATATAATATTCTAGATGTACGTCTGTTATTAATGTTGTATTTTTTCCCGACAGCTACTTGAAATTGTGTAGCAGTAAGCTATTAAGACAGCAGTGGAAATTTAAAGGAAAAAGAAACCTACTGTACCCACAGTAAAGAGAATGGCAGTCCTCAAGAAGGCTGCAGCAGCTCCAGGAGAGAAGGGATCTCTTCAAAATGGAGGTAGGAAGAAGGCAAGGGGAAAGAAGAAAAAAGCCGACTTAGTATCAGTAGAAAAGAAGGAACCTTCTGTAGAGAAGAATGAAGCCCCTTTAAAGCCAGTGGAAGTCGAGAAGAAAGCAGATGCTCCAGCTAATGAAGTAAAGGCAAAGAAGAAAGAGGAGGCCAAGTTAGTAGCTGTAGAAGAGAAAAATGGTGCCTCAGAAATGATAGGAGTCCAGGAAGAGACTGTAGATGCTTCAGGAGAGAATAAGGTATCACCTGAAAATGAAAAAAAGAGAAAGAAGATAAGGGGGAAGAAGAAGAAGAAATCTGATGTAGAGAAGAAGGACGAAAATACTGCTCCAGCAAAGAAGAAAAAGCCCAGGAGGAGGAGGTCTAAGAAGAGGAAAGCTGCTACAGAGAACCCTGAGGACGATGCAAATGAAGCAAAGAAAGCAAAGCTAGATGTTCCAGATGAGAAGGTGAGTTGAAAAGACGATACTCTTGTGGTGTACATGCACTGCCTCAAGTAACATCCTTGCAGTCAGCTAAGTTCATAGACATTATATCCAAATTTACTTAATGATAATGTGCGTTAATGCATGGTGAAATGCTTATCAGAGAATAAACCCTTATAGATGCGAAATATAGATTTTATATATTTTCATAGTATAAAGTAGTAGAATATACAGGTATAGAAGAATAGTTAAACAATACTAGAAAAAGATATTGATAATGAATTAATGTAGAATTAAAGAAAAGATGGCTAATCTTGTTTCTGTTAAACATTAGACAAACAAAATTCTGTTCCTTAGGCTACTAAGAGCAGTTTACTGGAATATTTAGGTACACTTCAAAAAACTCAAAAAGTAGGTATTCTATAAAAGGAAAAGAATCATAATATTCTTTGATGAATAACCAAGATACCTTTATATAGAATCACATCATTTCAAGTAATATATCAGAAAAAGGCAATTTTGCTCAAACATTTAAAATGTGTTATGATTTATAAACAGCTGACTACATGTGGCCAGCCCAAATCTATATAAAGCATGGATAATAAAAAAGAAAAAAACTACATGACAGATCACATAGCTTTAGCTACTGATTTAAAACAAGCATTTTTGTAGAATGTTTGAATAAGGCTAGCATTATTGTATCCAACAAATTAGATGAGAAAAAAATTTGTGCTGGTATTAGATAAAATTAATGATCTTAATTCATTATATGATATGAAAACTTTGATTCCTTTATCCCTGAGTGATATCAAGCTGGCCCAGCAAACTCGCCTCTAGTGCAAGAGCAAGTCTCAGTGGCTAGAGCTGTACCTGGTACCAAACCAAAATATTTCATGACAGTTATAGCATTTTCCATTGGCATGGGGATGAAAATACACTCGCAGCAGGTGCCAATGTGTGCATATCATGGCTAACTGTCCTATCAAGTCATGTGTGGTCAAGCCTGTTATAAGTTGTGTGTGCCTAACAACTGTTCACTTGTTTGGCCCTAGCTGTGGCCATTGTGTAGAAAATGGCCTCATAAGTAAGCTTAAAGCCTCTTTTTAGCCTCATTACCAAAAATGTCAGGCTCCTACATACCACCCATCAGTGAGGAATGCGGAGTGTTGAAGGACAATTTGGTGCCTATCTTGTACAGGGGGTCTGTAGTCTTCTTTTCATCCACACCTCTGCAGCAATCATTAGGATATCTAGCACTGACATTTTCAAATCTAAGATCTTCGATAAAAGCTGGTGAGGACATTTCACTTCTAGCTATGTATTGCTCTTGTAAGACAAGTGAAGAAAATGTCCCAACTTTTGATGTTAGCTGCTCGGCCATACTTGTGTTTGTTTATAAACAGCTGACTTTGTGTGGCCAGCCTAAATCTTAACAAAAGAATAATAATGAAAAACTTCTAAGGAATTCTTTGTTATTATCTTGGTTGATAATAAGATAAAAATTATATTTTATATTTTTATTCTAATAAATGGTAATGACAAGGAATACTTCACTATTCCTGTACAATACATGGTTGCATGTACATGTGAAATAGTTTCCACAGAAGAGATAAAAATGAATTATTCACAACAGCTGTGTGCAGTATAACAGTCTGGGTTTGTTTGTTCTTCTCAGATGACTCTAGATGGAGACCTGTTGAGTATATATGAGACAAGAAGGGATGAGGATTTTAAAAGATGTCTCTATGTCATGATGAAGAACTTCAAGAAGACTTACTACAAGGATCCGCCTCCAATTTTTGAAAGTGCCCAGCATCTCAGATTTAGTGGGTCG